CGCATTTCCAGACCTGCATCGACTCGAGAACAGCAAGTCCGACGTGTTTCTGCACCTTTCTGCCTGCAAGGGGTCGTTGTCGGGCGGCCGTCGGACAACGACCCAGGATGGAAAGGTGGACCTGGGGAGGAAGGCAGGAGATCCTGGGCCCGAGATGCGAGAGCAAGGGCTCCATCGAAGGCGCGAAGTTGGTCGCGCTTCGCGCTTCGCGGGCCTTCATTCCTCCTGCGCACAACCTGAGGCGCCACAGAGTCTATGACACCACAGCCGTCGGTCGGCGTGGCTGAGGGCGCACCTTACAACCGCCCTCAGCCACGCGCATCGGACAGGGCCCGCAGTGGGCCACACTCCTGCCAAGAGGCTACACCTCAGGCAGAGAGGACTGCGCACGGCCAGACCGCCAGCGCGCACGGAAGGGCTGTGCAGGACCAGCTGAAGAGTATGGGTCACAGCACGAGCCCATCAGAAGAAAAGAAAAGAAGGGGAGGGCGGGCCGAGGGCCACGGGGCGATCTCCCTTACTGGGAGGATCCCCTATGGCCAACGGCCTGCCCCCCAGAGCGCGACCCCACGGTGGCGGTGGGGTCGGGCTGTTCCTGACCATGAACATCGAGAGCATCGAGCAAAACGTGGGGAGGAGGACGAGGGCGGCCACTGGCAGCAGCCAGCAGCCGCTGAACAATAGCAGCACGCTCTGCATCCGTGCGCTGCGTGCGCTGCTTGCGCGCAGGCACAGCGGTGACCGAAACATCTCCTCCGCCCCCGCTCAACGACGTCGACGGCGCGACACCTCCTTCCTCCGCGTGAGCACCAGCACTGCCAGCAGACCGCTGGGGTGCCTCCGAGGGGTGGGCCGTGCTCGCACCTACGCTGGCCATGCCTGCCTCCAGCTGGGGTGCTGCCGATGCGCTAGCCACCGCAGCAGGCACAGAGAGACTTTTCCCTCCTCCACTCCTCCTCGTCTTCCTCTTCTCCCCTTTGGGGGCGGCGCGAGAGAGCGAAGTTGTTCGCCCTTCGCGCGGCGCGAAGCGCGAAGTTAGGCGCCCTTGGAAAGCATCGAGTCGTCGAAGGATTCTGTCGTTGTCCGTGCCTCCAGGCCTCAGAGACGGGCCAGCGAGCAGCCGGGGCCCACACGGCGCACCCCGCAGCGCCCACGCGGCGGCGCTGCCGCGCGGTGCGGAGCCCGCCCTTCGTTGCGGCAGACCCGCGCCGCGGCGACGCAGCGGCAGACCCCCGCCGCGGGCGCTCGAGGTCGAACGCCGCCAGTGGCCCAGACTCGGTGGATTCCGCGGACGACACGCGTGCACCGTACCGCGCTGGCGTCTCCTGAGGAGGAGGAGGAGGAGGAAAAGGAGAGGGAGGAGGAGGAGGAGGAGGAGGAGGAGGAGGAGGAGGAGGCGGCGGGGGAGGAGGAGGCTGTGGCGTCGTCGGTCCTCGACCCAGGAACGGTACGGTGCACAGTTGTGAGTCGCTCAAGGCTGAACAAAAATGTGCACCCTATTGGTTTGGAGCGCGGCCTGAAGGGAATCTTGTGCGGTGCTTAGGCGCCATTCCCGTATTGATGTGGAGCAACCTGGCGGTCGTAAAGCCGGCGATCGTTCAAGGCTGAGCGACCCACGCGGTGGCAGAGGCCAACGCTGGGGTCGTGACGGCACGAACTTGCCGTACTTGCCCCGGTCTCGCTCACGAAGGCCTCTGGCCATGTCTCAGCGCCGCGCCTCTGGCGCCCGTGTGCCCTCTGCGCGCGCGCGCCCAGCACTCTCAGCGCCCTGTGCGGCCGACCTGAGGGTGGAGGTGGAGGTAGGGTGGGACCCGAGACCTCTTCTGTGCTGCCCCCCCCCTTCCCCGCAGCGCCCAGTTCAGCCCGGTCGATGTGCTTCGATGCCGACTTCGGCCAGCCAGTCTTGTGCGAGCCTGATCTTCCGACGCTCCGAGGCGGGCCGAGGCTTGTACGGCGCGGATCCGGTGCGGTCCGATCCGGCGCACGCTCCGATGCGATCCGACTTCTGAGTCGATGGCTCCGCAACCAGCACGGCAGTTGAAGCAGTTCCAGAGAAGAGCTGCGCAAGCGCAGCCGACCATCGCGCCCTCGCGCACGAGTTTTGGTCAGCGATCGGGGCACGCAGTATGCGCGTCATAGTTGAAAGAGTGCCGGCCGAAGGGAACATCGCAGACCTGCCCAGGCCCGGCTTCGAAGGCTCCCAAGGGGCTGAGGAGAGCCAGGGAGGCCTAGGGCCTAGGATGATGAATCGCTCCAGAGCGTTCCAGAGAGCTCTCTCAGAGCTTCCTGGAGCGCTCTGAGACAGCCGCGACGCCCGACATTCCTCCAGACTCGCCGACTCTCAGAGATCCCCGATCTATCCCGATCCGAATGTATCCTCATGCTGCATTCCCCTTTGACAGGTAGGGTGGGATCCCAGACATCCGGCGTCGTGTTGTGTCACAACGTGGCTCCCCAGAGGTCTGAACCCCTCCCTATAGGATCCAGGTTCTCATCCCGAACAGTTTTTGACTGCCCTGGGGTCCGGCGAGGGCCCCCGGAGGTCGAAGACGGCCAAACATGTTCCGTCGTAGCTTCTCTCCGCAGTGCGAACACGTCAGGGACCGTGGACTTCTCTGCGCGCCCAGCCCCGCTTCGGGGCCGGCCAAGAGAGAGGGGGGGAGTTTGGGAGGGGAGATCATGGCCAGGGCCATGATACCTCCCCGGATTTCGTGGCCTCCTCGTCTTAGCTGCCTCGATACGCACGTGTTGATACGCAACACGTACCGTGCTCAAAACGTCCGTGTCAATACGTTGCGTGCTGACTCAACGTATTGGCCCACGTTTTAGCGAACGTATCGCTTCAGACCCACGTTTCAGTCTACGCGTTGAGCTCCGTATCCATACGCTGCGTGTTGCGTGTTGCGTATCGGGGCAGCTAAGCTCCTCGCTTCATCTCAAAATGTCCCCTGGCCCCCCCCCTGGTCCGCGCACGTGCCTCGAGCCAAGAACCTGCGCTCCCTCTCCGGGACGCCCCCCCTCCCTGGACGCCCCCGACCCGCCTGATCGCCGACGGGCGCCGGACGGCCCACCCAGCCCAGGAACGTGCGGCGTCGCTCTCGGGGGCCTATCGCTAAGTCAACCCTGTCCCTCTACAGGGGGAATATTCAAAAACAGTCAAAAATCATCTGGGGACTATGTTTGTAGTGTTTTTGGCAATTTTGCAGCATTTGTTGCGTATTTTTATTTTTCGTCGAAAATCCCTTTGTAGGGGGACACGCCCGACTTAAGCCTATCGCCGATCAGTCGGCGATGTATCGCCGATTCCGGTCTGGTGCTGCCCCCCGCTTGGAGGGTCTCTCCGAAGGGCTTGGGCGACCCGTCCTCCTCCTCCTCCTCCTCCTCCTCCTCCTCCTCCTCCTCCTCCTCCCCCTCCTCCTCCTCCTCCTCCTCCTCCTCCTCCTCCTCCTCCTCCTCCTCCCGCCTCCTCGAGAACGGGGGATTGTGGAGCCCCTCGGGGTTCCATAGCGCGCGCGCGCGAGGCTTTCACACTGAGTTCGCGAGCGCGTGCATCTTTCAGTGGTGTGCGTACTCTGTGGCGTCCTCCTCTCCTTCCGCCTCCCCCTCCTCCTCCTCCTCCTCCTCCTCCTCCTCCTCCTCCTCATCATCATCATCATCATCATCATCATCATCATCATCATCATCATCATCATCATCATTTTTTGTTTTTTCTCTCTCCCCCCCCCAGGAACAAAAAAAGAAAAAATATAAATAATTTAAAAGATCTGGGGGGGGTCGGCGGCGAAAAAAAGGGAATGCGGCGTGGCCGCATCTGCCCTCCTCCCCTAGAAGGATTCCTATAGAACGCCCCCACAAGAAGGATTCATAGTGAAATCCTCTACAGAAGGATTCCTGTCGAAATCCTCCACTGAATGATTCCTATTGGAATTCTCCACATATGTATTCCTATTGGAATCATCCATCACCCGCAGAAGGATTGATATTGAGATGCTTCGAAAGAAAGAACCCCCCGTTGGCATTGCATCGGCATTGTTTTGGCAATGGTTTGGCATCGCATCTGCATTGCATTGGCATTGCGCTTGGCAGTGCTTTGCTAGTGTGTTTGCGTTTCGCAAGCATTGCGCTGGCGAGTCCCTAATGGAAGCCCTCACAGAAGGACTCCGATCGAAACCTTCTACAAGAAGGACTCCGATTGAAACCCTTCACAAAACGGTTCATATTGACACCCTCCACAGAAGGATTCCATGCGAAACCCTCCATAGAAGGATTCCTATTGAAATCTACCACAAAGGATTTCCCCCATTGGCAGTGCATTGGCATTGGGTTGGTATCGCTTTGGCATTGATGTGGCATTGCGTTGGCACTGCGCTGGCATTCCGCTGGCGAGTTCCAACACCTCCCTTCGCAGAATGGTTCCTGATGAGCCCCTTACAAGAAGGATTTCGATTGAAGCATCCCACAAGAAGGGTTCATATTGAACTTCCTCACGGAAGGATTCCAGTCGAAGCCCTCATAGAAGGATCCTTTTTGAACCCGACCACAAACGATTTCCCCCATTGGCAGTGCATTGGCATTGGGTTGGGATCGCTTTGGCATTGGTGTGGCATTGCGTTGGCGCTGCGTTGGCATTGCGCTGGCATTCCGCTGGAGAGTTCCAACACCTCCCTTCGCAGAATGATTCCTGTTGAGCCCCCCACAAGAAGGATTCCGATTGAAGCATCCCACAAGAAGGGTTCACATTGAACTCCCTCACGGAAGGATTCCATTCGAAGCCCTCCAAAGAAGGATTATTTTTGAACCCGACCACAAACGATTTCCCCCATTGGCATTGAATTGGGATCGTTTTGGCATCGGTTTGGCATTGCGTTGGTATTGCGTTGGCATTGCGCTGGCGACTTCTAGTGGCTCCCCCCACAGAGGGATTCTTATCGAAACCTTGCTTGATATTGAGATGCTTCGAAAGAAAGAACCCCCGTTGGCATTGCATTGGCATTGGTTTGGCAATGGCTTGGCATCGCATCGGCATTGCATTGGCATTGCGCTTGGCAGTGCGTTGCGAGTGTGTTTGCATTTCGCAAGCACTGCGCTGGCGAGCCCGAATGGAACCCTCCACAGAAGGACTCCGATCGAAACCTTCTACAAGAAGGACTCCTATTGACACCCTCCACAGAAGGATTCCATGCGAAACCTTCCACATAAGGATTCCTATTTAAATCTACCACAAAGGATTTCCCCCACCGGCAGTGCATTGGCATTGGGTTGGGATCGCTTTGGCATTGGTGTGGCATTGCGTTGGCACTGCGTTGGTATTGCGCTTGCATTGCGCTGGTAAGTTCCAACACCTCCCTTCGCAGAATGATTCCTGTTGTACCCCCCACAAGAAGGATTCCGATTGAAGCATCCCACAAGAAGGGTTCGAATTGAACTCCCTCACGGAAGGATTCCATTCGAAGCCTTCCATAGAAGGGTTGTTCTTGAACCCGGCCACAGACGATTTCCCCCATTGGCATTGCATTGGCACTGAATTGGGATCGTTTTGGCATTGGTTTGGCATTGCATTGGTATTGCGTTGGCATTGCGCTGGCGACTTTTAGTGGCCCCCCCCCACAGAAGGATTCCTATCAAAACCTTGCACAAGAAGGGATCCTTTTGAAAGCCCCCACATGAAGGATTCAAAGTGAACCCCCCCACAGAAAGATTCCAATCGAAACCCTCCACGGGAGGATTCCTATCGAAATCTTCCGAAGAAGGATTCCTAACCAAATCATCCACACAAGGATTCCTAGTGAAATCTGTTGGCAGACAGGAATCTCGCCATCGGCATTGCATTGGCATTGGTTTGGCATCGCATTGGCATTGCGATGGCATTGCGTTAGCAGTGCGTTGGCATTGCGTTGACGTTGCGCTGGCGAGTCGTCCTACTCAAACACTTTTACAGAAGGATTCCGACTTAACACCCCCACAAAAAAAGATGCTTATTGAATCGCCCCCACAAGAAGGATCCAAACTGAAATCCTCAACAGAAGGGCTCCATGCGAAGCCCTCCATAGAAGACTTCCGATTGAAATCCCACGAAGAAGGGTTCTTAGAAGGATTGCTATTGAAATCTACCACAGACAATTCCCCCCATTGGCATTGCAGGGGCCTTGGTTTGGCATTGCGCTGGCACTGCTTCGGCATTGCGCTGGCGAGTTCGAATGGCTCCCACCGCAGAAGGATGCCTTACTATCCACAAGAAGGCATTCTTTTGAAAGCCCACCACATAAAATATTCATACTGAAACCCCCCACGGAAGGATTCCAATCGAAACCCTCCACAGGTAGGATTCCTTTTAGAATCTACCACACAAGATACCCCCCATTGGCATTGCAGTTGCATTGAATTGGGATCGCCTTGGCATTGGTTTGGCATTGCGATGGCAAAGCTGTGGCATTGCGTTGGCATTGCGCTGGCGAGTCCTAATGGCTCCCTCCGCAGACGGACTCCTACTGAAACCCTCCACAAGAACGATTCCGATTGAATCCTCCCACGTGAAGGATTCCTAGTGAAACCCTCCACATGAGGATCCCTATCGAAACCCTACACATAAGCATTGCTATTGAAATCCTCCGAAGAAGGATTCGTATTGACATCATCAATAAAGTATTCTTATTGAAATCCACCGAACGAAAGGAGTCCCCCATTGGCACTGCATTGGCATTGGTGTTGGTTGGGAATGGATTTATATCGCATCGGCATGCATTGGCCTGGTGCAGGAGATAGACAAAGAGAGAGAGAGAGAGAGAACAAACAAGAGAGAGAGAGAGAACACTAGAGAAAGATATAACGAGAAAAGATTAGTATGAGGGGATCACGGCGAGAAGAAAAATGACAAAAAACAATCGACATTTCACGGTGAAAGAGCGTTTCACTCGATACAAACCGCATGAAAACGACGAGGGGCTCCACAATCCCCCTGCCTCTCCTCCTCCTCCTCCTCCTCCTTCTCCTCCCCCTCCTCCTCCTCCTCCTCCTCCTCCTCCTCCTTCTCCTCCCCCTCCTCGCCCTCACCTCCTCGGGTCGCCTACGGCCCCGGGGGAAACCGTCCAGCCTGAGCCAGTCCCCCTCTGTCGCTGCCCTTCACCCCCAGCCATCCCCAACTCGTCCCCTGGCACCCCGGGCCGTGATTCGCGAATCACCTCTTGACCGCCCCCCCTTTGGACGCCCCCGACCCAGAGATCCAACATCTCATTGTTTTCAATACGGGCCCCCTGGCAGTACCGATCCTGCCGCAAGGGCCCGCTTGGCATTCTGAGCCGTTTGTTGACGGACCTGGGGCCCGGCGAGGACCTCTGGTGGCCAAAAATGGCGAAAGAAGTCCGATCTGATTTTTGCCAGACCTCCTGGGGACCCGTCTCCGAGTAGTCCCAGCTGGCCTCAACATGCGCCCCCGAGCACAGTCAACCCACATGGTAAGTAAGGATGGGCAACCTTCCCAAGGGTACCCTGGCATCCTTGCCCCTTCGGCCCATCCCCAGCGGCTTTCGCTGGCCAGCCTCGTTCAAAATACGTTGGCGTGGCCCTCCAAGGCTCCATGGCCCTCTCAAAAAAGCCTCGGGGGCCCTCTCTGCGCAGCCCGACGCCTTACCAATTTGCGAACCCTCTCTTGAAGCGCTCTCGCGGATAGAGAGAGCGTCAGCGCAATGGGAAAGGGTGGGGGTGAGTGGCAGGATGTCAGACATGGCGCGAGCGCACCTTGCTTGGCGAACCCCCTCTTGCACCCCCTCCCTTCGGACGCCCCCGACCCGCCCCGAGGCCTGGCTTCGACGCCGCGGCCCTCCGCCAGGCCTCCGCGCGCCTCCGCGCCGCGGTCGCGCGCCGGCGCGGCTCCGTGGAGGCGCACACGGCCTCTCGCCGTCGCCGCCGTCGTGTCCGCGAGTCGTCGTTCGCGCGTCGTCCGCCGACCATCGTCCGTCATGCTGCGTCCCAAGGGATCCAACAGATCGAACATTATCAGAGACGTTCCCCGCCCTTTCTCCACGCAAGGCGGAGCCGGCCACTGAGGACAACGCCATGCGCCACGTGATGTTTCGGCGCTCTGCGCTCTGTGATGCAACAGCGTCGCGCGCTGAATGACGCGGCGGCGCCACGCGCCATGTCAGCGCGAGCCATTTGGGCTCCCTGCACTCAGCCGTGCCTCCGAGAAGCCAACGAAAATGGTGACGCTTGCGCAAAGTCGCAGCCCCAGAGGAAGCCGCGAAGTCTCACGTGATGAGCGCTGGCCTCGCTTCCACCGTGCCTCCCAGGAGCCCACGGAAGGTGTTACAGCTGCGCACGACAAGTGCGCTGTTCGCAGCCACCCACGGCGCCACGACACGAGGTCTCGAGCGATTTGCGCGGGCCTTCCACTCCGCTGGACTTCCCAGGGGCCCGCGAAGGTGGCGACATGTGCGCAGCTCGTGGCCCCCAGAGGAGCCGCGAGGTCTCAAATGATCTCCGTTGCCCTCACCTCCGCCATGCTTCCGAGGAGTCCACGAAAGTGGCGACCGTTGCGCAGCTCGCAACCCCCCACGGCGCCGCCAGGTCTCGAAGTGATGTGCGCTGCCCTCCACTCGTGTGGACCTCCCAGGGGCCCACGAAAATGGCGACGGTTGCGGAATTCGCAGCTTTCCAGGGAGCGGCGAGGTTTCGTTTGGATGCGCGCACGTCCCCATTCCGCCGGGCCTTTTCGGGAACCCACGAAAATGGCGACAATGGTGAAGTTCGCAGCCATCAAGGAGCTGCGAGGTCTCGCCTGGATGCGCGTACACCTCCACTTCGCCAGACCTCCGAGGAGCCCACGAAATTGACGACTGATGCGCAGTTCACAACCCCCTCGGGAGCAGCGAGGTCTCAACTGGGTCCGCGTCCACCTCTAGTTCGACGGACCTCCCAGAAGCCCACGAAAATGGCGACCGTGGCGCAGTAAGCAGTTTTCCAAGAAGCCACGAGGCTCCGTTCGGATGCGCATGCACCTCCGCCCCGTTGGACATCCCAGGAGCCCACGAAAAAAATCGCAAGTTGTGCAGTTTGCAACCACCCAAGGAGCTGCCACGTTTCGGTTGGGTCCGCGTACACTTCCACCCCGCTGGATTTCACAGGAGCCCACGACAGCAGCGACCGTGGTGCAGCTCGCAGCCATCCAGGGAGCAGCGAGGTCTCATCTGGGACCGCGTGCACCTCCACTCCAGTGGACCTCCCAGGAGCCGACGAAAGTGGCGACCGCTCCGCAGCTCGCAGCTTTGCGAGAACCCGCGGCCCAGGGAGCAACGTGGTCTCGGCTGAGTCCGCGTACACCTCTACTCCGCTGGACCTCCCCGGAGCCCACGAAAATGGCGACAGTTGCGCAGTTCGCAGCCACGCAGGGAGCTGCGGGGTCTCGTTTGTGTGTGCGAACACCCCCATTCCGGTGGACCTCCCATGAGCCCACGAAAGTGGCGACAGTTGCACAGTTCGCAGCCAACCACGGGGCTGCGAGGTCTCGGCTGGATGCGCGTAGACTTCTAATTCCGGTGGACCTCCCAGGAGCCCACGAAGGTGGCGACAGTTGCGCAGTTCGCAGCCGGTGGACCCTCGAGGAGCCCATGGAAACGGCAACAGTCGCGCAGTTCGCAGCCACCCTGGGGGCAGCGCAGACGGAGGCAGGAGGGGGCAGAAGGAGAAGGAGTCGCGACCGCAGCGCTCTATTCGAAACAAGAACCCAACACAGGAGTGTTGGGAAAAAACAAGGCGTAGGTTTTTTTCGTTTTCGGCATCTGGGGGCCCTCGCTGGGCCCCGGGGGCACAAGAAAACGACTCAGGATGAGAAGCCGGTCCAACGGAGCGGGTCGGGACTTCAGGGACCCCGCATCGAGAAAAACCATATCGGTTCTGTGGGCCATTCGTGAATGGTTCGCCGTCGTCGCCGTCCGCTGTCGTCGGTCGTCGTCCGCGGCCCGCTGTCGTCGGTCGCCGTCGTTGCGGTAGAAGCCTCCCGCTCGCCCTTCGTCATCCGTCACCGTCGGCCGCCGTCGTCGCCGCCGTCGTCGGCCGTTGCCGGCCGGTCGTCGTTTCTCGCACGCCACTCTTCAGCCATCCGCCGTTGACGCCCGCCGCCGTCCTCCGCCGCCTCCGCCGTCGGCGGTCGCCTCTTCAGGCGCCGAGCCCGCTCGTCCCGGCTGCACGCCAGGGTGACCCTGCGCTGCAGTGGCCTCTTCGGCACGCGGCCGTCGGGGGCCTGCGGGAAGGCCTACAGTCGGGACGGTGAAGAAGGAACCTTTTCGTTTGGGAGGGGTCCAGCGTTCCTTACTGGGGTTGTTCTGCAGCTGGCCTCAGGTTTGGCTCAGGTCTTCGATGGAAACTTGAGTTGAACCTACGGAGAGAAAGGGGCCTCGTTCCTGACTTAGGGCTCATTAATTAGGTCAACGCCCCGACTGTAGACCCGAGCACCCGGGCCGCTGCTGCCGCCTCGCACGCAACGATCGGCAGGCCGCGCGCCAAAAGGTCACTCGTTCGTCGCTTGAGGTCGGCGCCCCGGCGCTTCGGCACCCGTCCCTCCTGCCGGGTCGTCGGCGTCGTCGTCGGCAGACCGTGCGGGAGAGGTGCACACGTCGCTCGACGGCCACCTCGGCCAGGCCCGCTGCGCCCCGCGGCATCCGTCGGGCGAGGGGCAGGGGCAAGGTCAGGGGGGAGGGGATAGGCTCACAGGGGGGGGGGGGGGGAGTTTCGAGAAAATAGAGGTCTCCCCATCAAACAATTCGAGGCCTGGGGTGGCTTCCAGCAGCTGCGCCTCGTCGAGGGCGTTGAGGCGGTGCCGAACTGGTCCCGAAGGGCAGCCAGAGAGCGGAGCCATGGCCCCAAAAAGTCAGTGGGCAACGTCGGGGCAGGCCAGGCTCAGATGGGAATACATCGACCTCCAAAGAATCGCCGATAGGGGCCCGATAGCCCACCCCGCCCGGAACGTGTGGATTCGCAATCGGGGGCCTACCATCGATCTATCGAAGATGCATCGAAGATTCCAGCTCGATGTTTCCCCCCCCCCCTCAGTTGGCGCCCCCCCAAAGTTCCCCCTCAGGCTCCTTGGCCTGGGCAGGCTAGGACGTTTTCCACTGTTTCGAGATGTCGATGGAAGTTTTTGGGCCCCCTGGGGGCTTTCCAGCGGCTGCGCCTCGTCGATAGTTCTCCGGGGCTGCCCGAATCGTCCCGAACAGCCGCCAGAGGCCATGGTCCGAAAATGTCGCATTCTCGCGCCGTGAAAACGACACGACGGGCGGTTTTTGGCCCGCTCCGGCCTCTGAGGGCCCTCACCGGGCACCAGGGCAGTCCACAAGCGACCCGTCAGGAAGAGCCCATTCTTCGAGGCAGTCGACGCCTCTGGAGAGCCACGCTGTGGTGAAAGAGAGCACGGCATCGGATGTCTGATGGGGGTTGGGATGTGTTGCGGAGTCCTGGAGTCAGGGGCAACGTTCTAAGAGGGATAGGCTCAGCGGGGATTGCATTGACCCCCAATCGCCCATTCATCGCCGAGAGGGGCCCGATAGCCCACCCTGCCCAGGAGCGTGCGGATTCGGTATCGGGGGCCTATCGCCGATATATCGGCAGTGTATCGCCGATTACACGTCGACGTTTCCAAGCTGAACCAGTCCCCCCTAACGTTCCCATTCACTCAGGCAGGGCAGGAGGGCTTCGGAGGTTCCCTTGACACCCTCGCGTTGTGAAAAACACGACGGGAAGCTTTTGGCAGTTTTCGGCCTCTGGGGGCGCACCGGGCCCTGGAGCAGTCAGAAAAAATATGTCAGCAGGAAGGGCCGGTCCTCGGAAGGGGCCCATGATCCTCTGAGGAGCCACGCCGAAAAAGACAGAAAATGCGTCGGACGTATGGGTTTGTCGGGAGGTGTTGTGGGCCCCTGGGCCCAGACATCAGATGATGTGATTTATTCTACAGGCTTACGCCACATCCGCCGACCCCTTCTTCACGAAGGGAACGGGCCAATTTTTGCGCCGAGGGGCCCTCCTGGGACGCATCTTGGAGGCCTCTTGGGGCCTCTTGGGGCCGTCTTGGGCCGTCTGGAGGCGATCGTCGGTGTCTTTGATCGCTCTTCGACCGTCTGTGACCATATTGAGCTCTCTTGGAGGCCACTTGAAGCGCTCCTGGAGCGCTCTTGGGGCCGTCTTCGGGGCCCTCTTGGGCAATCTTGGGCGCCTCTTGGGCTGTCTTGGGGCTCTCTTGGGCTGCCTTGGAGCTTCCCTGGAGGCTGCTTGGACCGTCTTGGGGCGGTATTTAGGGCCTCTTGGGCCGTCTGGGAGCGTCGGAAAGCCCAAAAAGCGAATTCGTGAAAAATGTACGTTTTACGAAGGGAATGGGCCAATTTTTGCGTCTAGGGACCCTCGTGGGACGCATCTTGGAGGCTTCTTGGGGCCTCTTGGGGACCTCTTGGGCCGTCTTGGAGGCCTCTTAGGTCGTCTTTGAGCCATCTTGGGCGTCTTGGATCGCTCGTTTGGCGTCTCGGGGCTCCCGTGGGCCGTCTTGAAGGCTTCTTGGGGCCATCTTGGCCCGTCTTGAGGCTTCCTGGGGCCCGGAAAAGCCCCGGCGGCGCTCGTCCCGGGCCCGGGGGCGGCGCTCGTCCCGGGCCCGGGGGGGGGGGGTCAAATCGCCGGTTTGGGGTCCCGGGGGGGGGACTATAGGGGGGGGAACTATCTCACACGCCTAGAGACCCACAAGGGGTCGGCGGATTCCACGCGCGGCGCGGCCCTTCTCCGCGGCCCGATCCAGGGGCCGAAATCTAAGAAAAAGTCCCTGATTAGAGAGAGCATGCCGTCGGAGATCTGAGAGGACCTTTCTAGCGAGTGAGACAAATTCTCGGGAGTTTTCGCGGGCTCCTCGGGCCTTCTGGGCCTTGGGGCGTCTTCCATCCCGCGCGCACCTCCATCCAGATCTTGCCCGGCGCGCCCTCGATCATCATGACCATCGCCCCTCACTACCATCATACAGTGGCAAGAATCTTGACATTACGAATCACGTAATTAACCGCCATCGTCCCTCTCATCGTCTGACAGTGGGCGCATCAAGTCAGAAACTGGCCTGCCCACGGGTGCCCAACTCTGGGTTTCTTAACAAGCGTGGGGGTACCCCCCGACGGAGGTCAACCTCGCCGCGTCGTCGCGCCGCGACGGGGGTCGGAGCGCTTTCGGCGCGCGGTGGCTGCCCGCGACGGGGGTCGATGTGGGGCTGTCGGCGGGCGTGACGCCCCCCCGACGCGTGTTAAGAAACTCGAAGAAGGGTAACTTATTGTTTGCCGATGGGGCCGCAGAGCCCTGTGGCACCTTCTGGGGCGCAAAGTCGACGACGGCCGTGCCCCTAGCTTTCTAAAATCGAGATTGGTGATCGCGTGTGCCTACCGCACTCCTCATCCTCACCCCCACTTCTATTCCTCCTCCTCGTCCTCCTCCTCCTCCTCCTCCTCCTCTTCCTGCTGACTCCACTCATCATCATCATCATCATCATCATCATCATCATCAGCAGCAGCAGCAGCATCATCATCATCATCATCATCAGCATCATCAGCAGCAGCATCAGCATCAGCATCCGCATGAGCATCATCATCATTCCGCTCCTCCTCCGCATCGCTCTCCTCCCCCTCCTCTTCCTCCCGAGCCCCGCAGCTGACCCCAGAGGCCCCCGAGCCGATCCCGAGACCTCCCAGGATGCCCCCGAGGGTCTTTCTCCGCCTCCTCGTCCAGAGGAAACGGACGACAACGACGACGACGACGACGACGACGACCACGACGACCACGACGACCACGACGACTACCGCGACGACGACGACGACGACGACGACGACGGCGAAGGCGACGGCGAAGGCGACGGCGAAGGCGACGTCGAAGGCGACGTCGACGGCGACGGCAACGGCGACGATGGAAGGACGACGACGACGACGACGACGACGACGACGACTCTTCCCCAAGCGTCGTCGCACAGGCTCTGGCGCTGCACCCAGAGAGTTTCGAGGACGCATCGGCGGACGCTTCCCCCTCAGGCGGCCCGCTCTCTTTCGACCAGAGAGGGGAGCGTGCAGAGTCGCGGCGCGGCCCCTACCGGGAGCCCGCATAAGCCGGCGGCAGGGGAGGCGGGCGAGCGAGCGTGCGGGAGAGGGAGAGAGGGAGAGGGACAGGGACAGGAAGGAGGAGGGACAGGAGCGAGCGAGCGAGCGAGCGAGAGAGAGAGAGAGGGAGATGGAGAGAGGGAGGACGGAGGGCTGGAGACAAAAACGCAGGGAGCGAGGGAGGGAGGCAAGGGGGGGGAGGAGGAGGAGGAAGGCGGGAGGAGAAGGGGGGGGGATCGGGGAGAGAGATGGGGCGGCTTGGGCCGAGAGGGAGGGCCAGGGTGGAGGACGCGGGAACGGCGGGGCAAAAGACGTTCCAGTGGAGCAGGCGGGCAGCCGAGGGAGAAGCAGAAGGGGTCGAGGCCAGCACGTGGTCGAGAGGAGAAGGGGGAGGGCGGGGGGCACGTAGTGAGATTACGCACGTAGTGTGAATTCCGCCCAGTGCGCTTCCTTGTGTGTACTTACGCAGTGTATTTGCGCAGCGCCCCTCCGGGGGCAGCCTCATCTACCACTCCGGCGTCGAGCTGCGCCCGGGCGGTGCAGCGCGGCCCCCCACGAGGCATGCTCCCCACGAAGGGGTTGGATGGTGGACCTGTCCCCCTGTGCCGGTCCCCGCTGCCCTGGCTGGCCGCTCCGGCCTGCTCTTCGCGGAAGTCTTCCACGTCTGAGCGATTCCCCATTTCCTCCTCCTCCTCCACCTCCTCCTCCTCCTCCTCCACCTCCTCCTCCTCCTCCTCTTCCTCCTCCCCTCGCGCGGCCGCCCTCGTTTTCGTTCCTTCCTCTTGCGCGCTGGACAATCTGCAGTTCGGTTGCCCCGATTAGCCTCCCGCTGGAGCGGACTGCCTCTGCCTTGCCGCCGACGGAAAAGCTGTCCCCGTAAAATGCGCCCCCGCATCTCGGATCCTCGCTACCTAACGAGGTATGCAGATCCCCCGCTTTCCTTTATAAAAGTAGATGCGGGGCGTTTTGCGCAGAACCCCTACTAAATAACGAAGTTCGGACATCTTGAAATGTCATCGGGAATGACAGAATGTTGACTTGGTGTCTCGAACCCCGCGCTTATTTTGCAAAAATGATTATTGGTTTGCCGCGTGCCCGCTCGAGGATGGCGCGCCCTGCGTGCCCAATATCCGAGGATGTCTCAAGCGAAACGATTGCTTTGCAGAACCAAGTGGGTTCCTAAAGCCCCAGAGCGGGACAAGCGTAACAACACGTGAACACTTGAGTTCCAAACGCCCCAAAGTGGGACAGGCGTGAAAACATTTGGGTTCGTAGCGCCCCTGAGCGGGACAAACGTTACAATATGTGGGTTTCTGACGCCCCAAAGCGGGACAAGCGGGACAACACATGAGTTCTTAGCGCCCCAGAGAGGGACAAGCGTGACACCACGTGGGGTCCTAACGCCCCAGAGCGGGACAAGCGTGACAGCACATGGGTTCTTTACGCACCAGAGCAGGACAAACGTGTCAACACGTGGGTCAAGCGTGAAAGCACGTAGGTCCTCAACGCCCCCGAGCGGAACAAGCGTGAAAGCATGTGGGCCCCTAGCGCCCCAGAGTGGGACAAGCGTGAATACACATGGTTTCCTAACGCCCAAGAGCGGGACAAGCGTGAATACACATGGGTTTCTATTGCTCCAGAGCAGGACAAGCGTGAAACCACATGGGTTCCTAACTCCGCAGAGCAGGACAATCGTGACACCACGTGGGCTTTCACGCCCCAGAGCGGGACAAGCATGAAAACACTTGGGTTCCTAACTCCCCAAAGCGGGACAATCGCGACATCACGTGAGTCAAGCGTTAAAAACATTGTTTCTAGTGCCCCAGAGCGGGACAGGCGTGAAAACATTTGGGCTCCTACCGCCCAAGGGCGGGACAAACGTGACAACATTTGGGTTTCTGACGCCCCAGAGCGGGACAAGCGTGACAACATATGAGTTCTTAGCGCCCCAGAGCGGGACAAGCGTGATCCAGCGTGGGTTCCAATCGCCCCCAGCGGGATAACCGTACAAACATTTGAGTTCCGAACGTCCAAGAACATGGGTTCTGGACAAACGTGACACCACGTGGGTTCCTAATGCCCCAGAGCGGGACAAGCATGACAACATGTGGGTCCTAAGCGCCCCAGAGCGGGACAAGCGTGAAATCACTTGGGGTCCTAACGCCCCAGAGCGGGACAAGCGGGACACCACGTGGGTTCTCAACGCCCCAGAGCGGGACAAACATGAAAACACTTGGGCGCGTAACGCCCCAGAGCGGGACAAACGTGACAACACGTGGGCTCCTAACGCCCCAGGGCGGGACAAGCGTGAATCCGCGTGGGTTCCTAACGCCCCAGAGCGGAACAAGTATGAAACACGCGGGCTCTTAACGCCCCAGAGCGGGACAAGCGTGAATCCGCGTGGGTTCCTATCGCCCCAGAGCGGGACAAGCATGAATCCACGCAGATTCCCATCGCCCCAGAGCGGGACAAGCGTGAAAACACATGGGTTCCTAACGCCCCAGAACGGGACGAGCATGAAAACACACGGGTTCCTAACGCCCCAGGGCGGGACAAATGTGAAACCACGCAGGTTCGTAGCCCCCCACAGGGACAAGCGTGAAACCGTTGCGTCGGCGGCTAGGCAGAGTCAATGCGCTGGCGAAAGAAGCGAAACGGGGCAGGCGTTAAGAGAATTGTGCCACCATGCAAGAGGGGGGGGGGGGGAAGAGGACGACGGGGCGACGGCCGAGGGGAGAGGGAAACGGGCCAGGTCCGCTCAGAAGGGCGGGGTGCCCGGGGCGCGTGGCGCGGCCGTCGCCAGAGGGGGGCCGGCAGCAGCAGCGGGGTTGTGGGGTCAGCGGCGGCGGAGGTGGGTACTGACCAGGTCAGCCGGCAGAGGTGCGCGTGCGAGCAGTCAGAGAACAACCGGGACCCCAAGGGAAGGGGACGGCGAGGCCCTCAACAACGGGCAAGGGGCGTGGGCGAGGCGCGGGCGGCAAGACCAGCCCAGGCGCTGAGGCGGGGAGGTGTGCGGCCAGTAGGCCGAAGCAGGCGTGAAACACACATGGGCTCCTAACGCCCCAGAGCGCGACAAGCGTGAAAACATATGGGCCACTATCGCCCCAGAGCGAGACAAGCGTGAAAATGGACCCTTGGCGCCCTCCATGCCCGTTTCGTGGCGCGTCCCTTGCCACGTACCCTGGCACGTCCCCAGGCGCATCCCCTGATGCTCCCCTGATGCGCCCCTGGGACCTCCTTTGGCGCGTCCATGCGCCCTGCGCCCAGTGTCGACTCGTCACGCTTCGGAACTGAATCGGATCTTGAGCTCGAGCTGATTGAGTGTCCAACACGTCTCGTTTGCGACCAGCTCTGGGCCAGCTATTCGCTCAGGCAGCTCGAGCTTCAGATCCAGATCAGTTCGTTCAGGATTCCGATCCCAAGAGCGACTTGATCCACAACACTCCAGAGCACAACGCGATTAATCGCGACATGACGTATATACTTGGCACGGCACAGCACATCTCAACTTCTAGCACGGTGCATTACGATCGATACCTTCAGCATTGCAGCACACATCGCGCGGCGCGTCCCTTGGCGCGTCCACTGGCACGTTCCGTGGCGCGTCCCCCAGCACTTCACAGTGCGGCGCGACACATTGCAGAGTAGCACAACACAACCCCTGGTACAGTATCATCACCATGCATGTCTTCAGCATTGCCACTACCCATCGCCCAGAGTAATTTACGAGGTATCGTGACCCTCGGGCACGTTCCCTGGCACTTTCCCTGGTGCCTCCTCTGGGCACGTCGCGCGGCGCGTCCCCTGGCACGTTCCGTGGCGCGTCCTTCTGGCACATCGCGCGGCGCGTCCCCTGGTACATCCCCCGGCACGTCCACTGGCACGTTCCGTGGCGCGTCCCTTGGCACGTCACTGTGCGGCGCGCGCGGCACAGCGAAGAGAAACACAACACAGCTCCATGGCACAGTAGCATCACCATTAATATCTTCAGCATTGCCACTGTCGCCCAACTGAGGTGCTTGGAACATTCCCAGGGCTCGCGGTGGGTTCGTGGGTCGACCAGGTTCGGGGACCCGGCTGTCGTCTTGAACCGTGCTCTCTTGAGGAGTCCCGCGGACCGAAAAATTGCTAGAAGCCAATCGCCGCGGCTCTGTCACTGCTGAGATCTGGGCGTTGCGTAAGTTTCGCACCGGGCATTCTCGCCCATTTTCGGGGCCCGTGACCCTCACAGATCGATCCGGCTCGAAGGACGCCGCAGCGAGATGAGGTCTGGGGCTCCCGTGGTGATTCTCGCGAGGCTGCATCTCGTTCGCAGCGTCGGCCCTCCGGGACGGCGCTCGGCTTTCGGGCCACAGCTCGGGCCCCTGGCGGCCACTCGGGACGATCTGGGCACCCCCGGAACGGTCCAGGCGAGGCGCGGCTGCCAGAAGAGCATCTCCCCCCTGCTCCTTTTTTCTCCTCCTCCTTTCTCCTCCCTTCTCCCCCTCCTCCTCCTCTGCAGCTTCCTCCCTCCACCTCGGGGTCGGGCGCTTTTCGGAACCGACGAAGCGTACCTCTGAGCTCTCCAGGGATGCGCTCTGGCCAGCAGAAGGTCAACGCGGATCCAGCCCTGTGCCAGCGAGGGGCCCGCGCGTGGGGCCCAGGGAGCCTGGGCCCTTCCAGCTCGAGCCTCGAACTCCGAAGGGCGCGCAACCGGGCCTCCCAAAGGGGACCAGTGCAGGCGGGGTCGGAGGATCGCACCGCACCGCCGATGCATCGGCGATGCGGACCGATGTGGAGCCCGATTCTCTCCACGCCGACATCGCCGACGCATCGCCGACGTCATGCATCGGCGGTGTATCGGCGGTGCGGCGCGGTCCTCCGATATCATCTGCCTCCAGTGCAGGCACAAGGGGTCGTTTGGGGATGGCTCGTCCCCCGTTCCTCCTCCTCCTCCTCCTCTCCTCCTCCCCTCCTCCTCCTCCTCCTCCTCCTCCTCCTCCTCCTCCTCCTCCTCCCCCTACCCCTGAGCCCACTGTGGCTCGAGCATTTGCTGAGCTGGGAGTTCCTCCGCGCACTTGCGCTCCCCCCCCGCTGCCTTCTGGTGCTGCTGCGATGGTAGTGCAGACTCCCACCCTGCACCTCCAGGGCCTGCTGGAGCAGGGGGTCAAGCTGGTCGTCACCTCTGCCGCGCTGCACCAAGTGGTAACGCTCCACTCCTATCATGAAGTGACGATTCCTTTTTAGTTTCAGGCGTTCCGCGCTGCGACCCTAGAGTGGTCCTCACGGCCGCGGAGACCTGCCACGTGGCGGACCGAGGCTATCGCCACTCGAACCTTCATTCGGAGGTCAAGTTCATTGTGAAGCCCGCTCAGGCTGCTGGTGGAGCCCTCGGTGACCATGGTGGTCCCCCTCCTGGCGGCGACGACGATGATGATCACGGTGGTGATGATCGGCGCGATGGAGGCCCTGGGGCACGGCGACCACGTCGTGAGCAACCCGAGCAGGGAGACCCTTGGGCAGGAGGGGATGACCCGTGGAGCACTGGCGGCGCGCACCGCGATGGCGGGGTCGGGCCTCCTCTCAAAGCTCCTCGGCGCCACGGTAGTGGAGATGACACATCGTGTGCTGGACAGCTCCCGTGCATCCCCAAGTCTCCACTCAATACTGGGGCCCTTGTCTTTCATCCAGCCAACGTTCCTGATAGTCTGGACCGGGCGGTCGCTGTCTCTTCGGTTGATGCGGCGGCGGGGGCGTTGGGCAGTCCTGATGGTGTCGGCAGGGCTGCTCCAGGTGACAGCGCTGGTGTTGGAGACATTGACGTCATGGTGGCAGAGCTTCTCAAGCCCATGGCGGACGCGCAGAAGATCGACTCTCGGAGTCTACTCTGGCGATACTGTTCTGCATGATGATGGCGGTGGCGATTCGCTCCCGGGTGCAGTGGGTCCTCATCGAGCGTGCGGGAAATATTCTTTAAGCACGGAGGCTTGGTCGGCGAGTACGAGGATGACGAGTTCAGGATGCCGCTCGGGGAGGTTTGCCAGCGCCACGATTGGCCCATGGAGTTGTTCATCGATCGTTTCGCCACTGCGGCCCCTGGATTGGGCGTGTTGTGAGGATCTCTGGGGTTCGCGCGGACGCGGTCTGCCTGGAGGTGTACCCAGATGGCGAGAGGGCGGAGGCGGACCCGATGTTCATCTGTGAGTGTGGCAACCTGTCGAGCACGCCGCAGTGGGACGGCATGCTGGTGGAAAAGGTCGTGCTTGCGGGGGACCGGGCTGCCTGCATAGTTACGTGATCATCTCTAGTGGGACATCATGGTTGCGGCGGGTCTGGCCCCCCCTAAAAGGCTTACGATTCGAGGCGACTTCCATTAGGCCGCTGTGCCGCTTGGCGGCCCGACGGGTTGTCGCGGGCGTCGGACTCGGCGCGTCCTTGTTCGTCGGGGCCAGATCAAATGTGACGCGGGGCACAGGGGAGGCGCCGTAGGCCCCGCATTGGTGGAGAGAGCGGCGTGCGCAGGCTTGTTTGAAAAATCCTCCTGCTCTTCCTCCTCCTCCTCCTCCTCCTCCTCCTCCTCCTCCTCCTCCTCCTCCTCCTCCTCCTCCTCCTCCTCCTCCTCCTCCCCCTCGCCTCCCTTCATTCATCATCGCTTGGCCGCTCGCTTTTGCCGCTGGTTCGCAGCCCCCCCGCCGATGCTTTGGCAATCGACTGGTCGGTCGTCGTCTTGGCGATGCATCCCGACCCCCGTCTTGGAGGAGTGCCAGCATTAAGACACGGGCCGGCGGGTGGATTAGAGGCCGGAATGCGCAACCCATACACGGGCTGCGTGTGGGGATGTCCTGGGACCCGCGATTCATTCAAGAATTATTTGCTGAGTGCTCCCCCATGCACCTCTACATACGCAGACAACTGGGATTCGAAGTAGCCCCCCCCCATGTTTGGACCCCCTCCTGGCTTTGGGCTTGGTCCACCCGAACCCTGATGTTTTCAAGCTTACGGCCATGTGTTTCCAACTGTATAGGTTATAGGTTAGCACACCGAGAGAGCGGAAGCAATACCCTCCCTTGTTGCGGCCACTTGTCTCGCTCGTGCAGTCGCAAGTTGTCGAGCTGATCTCGGCGGAACACGTTGCAGGGGGCCCAGACACTCCAGCTTCCTCCTCCTCCTTCTGCTCCTCCTCCTCCTCCTCCTCCTCCCCCTCCTCCTCGTCCTCTTCCTCCTCCTCCTCTTCCTCCTCCTCCTACTCCTCCTCCTCCTCCTCCTCGTCCTCCTCCTCATTCCCCTCCTCGTCCTCTTCCTCCTCCTCCTCTTCCTCCTGCTCCTCCTCGTCCTCTTCTTCCTCCTCTTCCTCCTCCTCGTCCTCCTCCTCCTCGTCCTCCATCGTCGCTTGGCCGCTCGCTTTTGCCGCTGGTTCGCAGCCCCCCCTCCGCCGACGCTGCGGCAATCGACTGGTCGGCCGTCGTCTCGGCGATGCATCGCGCCCCCCCGTCTTGGAGGAGTGCCAGCATTAAGACGCGGGCCGGCGGGTGGATTACGGAGGCCGGAATGCGCAACCCATACACGGGTTGCGTGTGAGGATGTCCTGGGGCCCGCGACACACTCAAGCACTCTTATGTTGAGTGTTCCCCGATGTACCTCTACATACGCAGACACTTGGGAATTGACGTTGCCGCTCCCCCAGTTTAAGATCCCCTCCTGGCTCTTGGCTTAATCCACCCCAACCTTGATGCTTTCAAGTTTACGGCTATGCATTTCCAACTACATATGTTAGTACACCAATAGAGTAGGAGCAATACCCTCCCTTATACTAACGTCGCGGCCACCTTTCTCGCTCGTGCAGTCGCAAGCTGTCGAGCTATTCTCGGCGGAACCCGCCGCAGGAAGCCAAGCCCAGACGCTCCGACCTCCTCCACCTCCTCCACCTCCTCCACCTCCTCCTCATCCTCATCATCAGCATCATCATCAGCATCATCCTCCTCCTCATCATCATTATCATCATCAGCATCATCATCATCCTTCTCATCCTTCTCATCCTTCTCATCCTTTTCCTCCTCCTCCCCCTCCTCGTCCGACTCCCCCTCCCCAGGGGATCAGGAGGCTGCCTGACTGCACTGGAAGTCCTCGGGCCCCATTTCGGAGTCCTCCCGCAGCGCTCCCAGCGGCGCGCCGGAGGCCACCGCAGCCGCGCGCTGCGGCTGGTGGTGCACCCCTTCAGCGGCCGCTGCGCGCGGGTGCTGGACCGCGCCCTCTCTCTCGAGCCGCGGCGGTACGCAGGCCACCGGCAGTGGCGCGAAGGTGGCCTCGCTTCGCGCGTCGCTGGCCCGAGCTGCAGAGATGCCCTTCCTCCCAGGGCGGCGGCGCGGGGGCGCGCAGGCATTCGCGCCTCGCGGGGCGCGGGGCGCGCAGTGCGGTGGCCTGGGATGCGCTCTCGCTCGCGTGCCCGGCGCGGCCCCGGGGGCAGTCTGCAGGCCCTGGCTGGCTGGCCCCCCTCCCCCTGGGAGAGCTGCCGTGCTTTGGGGGGCGGCGGGGGGATCTGCCGAGACCTGACAAAAGAGGGCTGGGCGAGTCAGACCCGCGCTCGCGGGAGGAGGGGAAGAAAAGGAAAGGAGAGGAGGGGGAGGAGAAGGAGGAGGTGGAGCAGGAGCAGGAGCCGGAGGAGGAATAGATGGAGGAAGAGACACAGCAAATGGCATGGAGCATACAGAGGGAAGTATATGGGAGGAGGAGGGGGAGGAGGAGGAGGAGGAGGAGGAGGAGGAGGAGGAGGAGGAGAATATATAGAGAAGGGATTGGATCACCATCATAACGTATGGGAGATGAAGAGCCCCGAGCAGGATCGTACTCTTGTGTTCGTCATGCAATCAACCCTCTTTAGTCTGTTTGGGCAATGGCAGTAGAAGGCAGAACGGGGGGCTAGAGCGGAGGATGATGCGTGTACGCCAGACATCGCGCCGTAGGAGACCTCGGTTGCACGCAGTAGCTGCGTCTGCATACGAAAAGATGTCTCTGAAACGACAAATCTACGATTGCGGCGTGATTCGCAGTGCGTTCGAGCAGCGCCTCGACACAGGAATGCAGCATTCGCGGGTTCTTCGGCTTCGTTTCACCATCGGCTGGCCCATTGAGGGAACGTGAGGAATGTTGCAAGGGCATGCGACAACCGCTCTTCGGAGGGTTGGAGAGCGAGGTGAACAAGCAAGAGTGTGGAGGTCGAGGGGAAGGATCCGCCGTGGACCTGGGGGATCGGTGGATCCAGACAGTTCGAGAAAAGAGACAGGAAGAGGGTGGATGGAGATCGAGGTGGTCGGGCGTTCGCTAACGGGGGAGATACACGGGGGGATGAAACTTGCACCTCTCCAGCACCTTCCAGGACCACGATTGCAGTTTGTCAGTGGCCGTTCGGGACCTTTTTAGGTAATTAAGTTGTTTTGCAATCTTCGATCCACCCCCCGCATGCGGTCAACGAATGTTGCTTCGCATGCCGCGCCGCCAGCTCTGGCCCATCACGCTTCGGCGCGACACGCTAACCACGTCCAAGCCTACAGGCGTCAACGTGCCGAGCGTCTCCCAAGCCTCCCGCCCCGTGGAGCTTAGCGACACCCTATCGGCTCATATGGCATAGCGTGTCGCCGGGGTCGCCACCGCGACGCGCCAAGCAAGAATTCCCGACCGCAGTGCCCCCCCTTCCGCTGCCGAGCCCCCACCTGCACGGCCCTTGCTGTGCACCCTGGCGCAGCCAATCTGGTCCGACTCTCCGACTCCTGTGCCGACGCGGCCCGATCCGATGCACGTTCGGGCTCGACCCAATTCCCCGATTCGATGCCGACTGCTCCTGGCTGCCGAGCGCCCAAAAGGCAGAGCGTCGGCAGCGGACCTGGGGGGGGGAGATCCTTGGACCCGGGCAGCGCGAAAAGCTCCCGCAGGCGAGGCCCACTGGCTCCGTGCGCAGGTCCGCCGCCAGTCCGCCGAGCCGCCGATCCGCCGCCTCATTCAAGGTGGACGGACGGACAGATTCGGGCGAAGAGAACTACGCACATGCACTGATCCTGGCATGGCCTATTCTTGACCCCGGATCGGTGCGTATACCTTCCTGGCCAAGGCAGGAGAGAGCATGCACCGATCCTGGGCTCAGGAGGGGCCTGGCCAGAGTCGGTGTATGTGCACAGTTCTCTCTCCTCTACAGATGGATGAGGCCAGGCGATCGCACGCATGGATCAACGGGGCGTGCATCGTGAGCGTTTCTTTGTTCGTTGTTTTGCCGATCGGCGCGAGCGGTCGCCACCCCACCCCCCCTCCCCCCCCCTGTGGAGTGGATCCTGGTTCTTTTTCGGCGCCTGCCTCGAGCCAGTTGAGTCTCCCCCCTAGGACGCACGGTTCCGAACAGTCGCATGAAGCAGAGGTCCGGAGCCAGACCCCCCCCCCCTCCCCCCCCCTTCCGCTCAATGTCGAAACGTCGAAAATGCAACGCTCACTTAGCGACAAGTCCCGTTTCCATGGGAAATCACGGATTTCCGCCGCCGAACGGGGCGGCACCAGCCGCATTTGGGGGAGGACACCTCCCCCGATCCATGGATTGGGCGACCGCGCGCCAGATCCATGGATCGCCAATCCAGGTTTGCGCGCCCCCGATGAGGGGATGGCAGGCCATGGAAGTCAAGGATGAAGGAACCCTGACAGCCTCGCGTCGGGAAAAAATCGCGGCGGACGGTGCTCGACTGTTTTCGGCCTCCCTGGGGGCAGTGCCCCGCACCGGGACTGGCAGAAAGCGACTCGGAGTGAGAAGCCGGTCCTGGGGAAGGGGTGCAGAGTTCTGGGGAGCTATGTTGTAAAGATCGCGACATCTGGTGCCTGGGAAGAATGAAGGAAGGGGATGGATGTGAACGAGGAGCACGGAGGTGGACGACGAAGAGTGGAAGGTC